CAGCCGGCTCTGGGGGCCCGGCCTGGCCGTGGGCATCGCCCTGGGGGCCCTGGCCCTGGCCGTGGGGCTGTGGTGGAGAAGACGCAGGTGAGTCGTCGCCTTCTCCGGGGCGGGAGTGGGGCCGTGACACCCCCTGACCCTCCCCTCTGCTCTCTTCTTCCAGGGGCTACCAGGAGGTTGGAGCCGGGCAGTCCAGGGCCCAGCCGGCTCTGGGGGCCCGGCCTGGCCGTGGGCATCGCCCTGGGGGCCCTGGCCCTGGCCGTGGGGCTGTGGTGGAGAAGACGCAGGTGAGTCGTCGCCTTCTCCGGGGCGGGAGTGGGGCCGTGACACCCCCTGACCCTCCCCTCTGCTCTCTTCTTCCAGGGGCTACCAGGAGGTTGGAGCCGGGCAGTCCAGGGCCTGAGGGCGGCACCGGGCCAGGCGTGGGGACCGGCCCCTCTCCCGGGGACATGGAGCTCGGGGCTGGGTCCCCACCCAGCTGCAAAGCCCCAGGCCCTTTAACCCAGCCCCCCACCCCTTGCTGGGGGCCCACAGACGCTATTGGCCCCCCTGCGGAGAGGAAGGGGGTGGGAGCAGGGGGGTAGGGGATTCCTGGAGTCTGTCCCTGTTTCTGGAGGGAGAGCGGCCGCCCTGACATCACACCTGCTCCGCCAGAGCGAACAGCCGCTGACTGTTCATTCCTATCAGGCTTCATCGGGCCCCACGGTCCCTCCTCCGAGTCCAGCCGGCCCCCGGGGCTCCACGCACCTTGTTCCTTCCACTCTGGGCCCCGGGCAGGTCCCCTGAGCAGCGAGGGGGGGCGTGGGGCTGGGCCGGGGCAGGGAAGGGGTTCAGGTAGGAGGGGTTGCCCCAGGGGCCCAGCCGGGACGGCAGGGGGGCAAATGACCCTTCCCCAGGTGCAGGCGCAGCCAGGCAGACAGGGTGGGGGGGAGCCAGCTCCAGGTCCTGCCTCGCAGTTTGCTCCCTTCATTGACGTGCACGTTCCCACTGCTCCTGTCTCGCCCGGCCAGCCGCCACCTTCTAAATCTGAGCCACAGGGCCGGCCTCCCGGCCCCCTCTGCCTGTCTCCTCTTCCCCCCCCACGCGCCTGGAACGTGCGTCTGTGACGGACACAGCGGGAGGTGTTTGCAAATCAGTCGGTTCCTCTCTAGTTAGGAAACAAACGCGCTTTCCCTCTGACAGAGGGGGAGACCAAACACCAGCAGGAAACACACCGAAACTGGCCAACTCTTGAGTCCGAACTCTGAGCTGATTCGCGCTGCCTTCCACACGGCTTCCCTTTCGCCTCACCGTGAGACCTGACTCGCAGGCCAGACGCATGAGGGGATGATGCTGATGCCAGAGACGTTCCCCTGACTCCATTTTGTCTCCCTGGCTTCCATTTTTAAAGCCCTGCACGACACCTACCAGGTACCCACGTTCGCATCTGCAAAAAGGAGCCACGGACGCAGGTTCCTGCAGATAGACCTGGGATATTCACAGATTTGCAGAGTTCTAGATACAAAATTTGTATCGGAATCCGCCTCCATATCCACAAAAACGAATTGTGGGGATCTGTGGATTTGCGGGGCTGGATCCATTTTAAAGAAGCAAAACTCATGTCCCCATTGGACGCTGCAGGCCACTTCACACTTAATAGATACGTGGCAGGAAAACCAAAGTAGGGGTGTGACGGGACAGACCAGGCCCCGAGGCCGCCTGCTGGATGCTTTGTAGTCCTGCCACACCTTCCCCAGAGAGACTATAGAGAAGTCCTCCAGGCAGGCTAGAGTGGCATTGGAAGAAGCAGCCAATCATGGGCCAGGAAGGCCCTATAAAAGGAGTGGAGGAACAGAGACCTGGCGGTATGCAGGCTGGGTGACTGGCTGGCTGAGAGCGTGGTGCTCTGTGGGGAGAGTTTATTGGTGCCCACTGAGCTGTGTGAGGACTCTGGTGTAACGCCCTGAAGAAAAGGCTCAGACGGCGTCTCCAGGAGTGGACGCCTGGGGGCACCGCTCTTTTCCAAGAGGGGGAGACTGAAGAAGGACACTGCTGAGGGCACCAAGATGTGCCCCTGCCAAAGGGGAACCCAGGGTGTGTGGGGGGGTGTTGTGTTGTTTTGTGTTGATTCACACACTGGCTGGTGCCTGATTCAGCCGGAGCTACCGAAGAAGGTTTGAACTGGAGAAAGGTCCGGCACACGCAAGGGGAGAGAGGGTTTGGGGGTCTGTGAAAAGCAAGTGAGGCCCCATTACCAGAGGAAAAGTGAGCAGGTGGCAACAGCTCCAAATAGACCCGACCATGAGGAACGGGAGAAATTTACCTGAGCGGGTCCGTCTATCCAATGACCAAATGCAGAGCTGACGGCTGCCCCCGGAGACTTTGTATCATCACACACGGAGCAGGAGACCTGTCAGGACACCGCACCGGCGACTCCTGAGAGCCGCGGCCACGGGTGTGACTGTCGGCCACAGGCCATGCTGCTGAAGACAAGGCCGGTTAGAAATGTCTCATGACAGAGCCGCCAAAAGGGGCGTGGGAAACCTGACAGGGCCGGACGCCAACCCTGGGTGGGAATTCGCGCCCGTCAGGCTCTTGGTCTGAGAACAGAGCAGGGGCTGGTGGCCCACGGAGACACCAGCAGCCTCCCTGCTTCCCACCCCACACCTGGGTAGCTGGGGAGGTGCCAGGTGGGATGTCAGACACTACAGCTCAAAACACACAGGCTAAGTAAGAGGGAAATCCTCTCCTGTCATGTGCTGTACAGGGGCTAGGAGACACAGAGGAGTGTGGCTGATTCTAGAAGGGCAATGGGATACACACACACAGACACACACACACGCACACACACACTCACACACAGACCCGGTCTCGCTCAGAGTTAACGAGACGCTCACCTCCCCGCATCCGGCCCTCGGCCCCGGCCTCTCGCTGCAGCCATCTCACAGGTGCAGACCACAAAACTTTCCACCGCCCCTTGGGGCTGACGCTATCGGAGGAGGCTGAGCTGAGCTGAGCTGGCCCCGCCGAGCTGCCCAGAGAGCAGGGACCATGGAGCAGCTGCCAGCCCTGAGCCCCGTCCTCTGCATCCTCCTCCCCCTCCCCATCTGGGCAGCAGGTAATAATTGAATCCATCCACCCAGCCGCCTCCCTCACCCCCACCTCCATCTCTGTCCTTCTGTCCCACCCCTAGATTCATTTTGGTCTGTCCATCTGTCTTCTCTTCCCACAACAAGCTCCATCTTTGGCTGTTCCTCTGTCCATCTATTCCACCCCCAGGTCCATTTCTCTTTGTTTATTTTGTCGTCCTCAGGGCTTCCCTGCTGGCTGGTTCATCCCATTTGGCCTTGATTGACTGGTTGATTGGATGAGATTTTCTGTCTTACGCTTTATCCCTTTCCTCCTGGCTCCCAACATTCTCTTGGCTGTTTTGACGGTCGGGGCCCGTGGAGCAGATATTCTCAGAGCAGGTCCACAATGACCACGGGAGTCCTTGGCTGAGGGGTGACAGCTAATTTACACCCATCTGTTTACCCGTGTCGTTGGGGGTCTGTTCTCCAATCCGTCTGACTTTGCGTTGCTCGGCACCCGAGTGTCACTCACCCCATGGAGTGAGATCCTCTTTTGCCTCTTGGCTGCTAGCGTTGCACGGAGCTGCGCTAAGTGATTGTGCGCCCGGCATCTCTGTGGGCATCTGTCGTACACACACCAGGCTGCTGTTGGGCAAATGTGGAGGCGGGAGCCCGGGGCAGTGTGTTATCAGCGGTGCTGTGCGCAATAGCGTGCTGGGAAAGAACACCGGGCCGCTCAGGGGTGGGGTGGCTGGGGCGTCTCCATCTTTTTTGTCCTCATTTTCCTTTGAGGGTACAATGTTCACTGCCCTGCCTTCCAAAGGTCTGGAAGTGCATCAGAGCCCCCGCGCCTTCCAGACGTCTTCTGGCGACACCGCAATACTCAGCTGCTCCTTTGAGTTCCGACAAGGCAACGCAGCCAAAGTGACCTGGACCAGAGGGCTGGGAGACGTGGTCGTGCTGGAGTCTGCCCACCCCTTCTACAAGGGGCGGCTCAACATGTCCGGTTTGCGTCTGCTCCAGAAAGGGGAGGCCGTGCTGACCCTGCGGGACCTGGAGCCGCGGGACTCTGGCCTCTATCGGTGCCACATCAACATCCACCAGGGAGACAGCGGGACAGGACAGGGCACCGAGCTTAGCGTGACGGGGAGGAACCAGAGTGACCCAGGTGAGGTGTCCATGTTTCTCCCCACTCTGGCACTCCAAGTGCAGTCGCTGGGGGCCACAAGAGATGTTAAATCCTTGGATGCAATTGGCAGCTGCTTAAAACTCCCCAAGGTCACAGATTCCCCGACTTTGGGAGGTAGCTGCCTTCACCAAGTGAAGCCCCATCTCCTTCCTTCCGGGAAGGAAGCACTTGGGAACCCCTTCCAGAGGGATCCCCTGCCTCTTTGAGCTGGGAATAAAAAGAGGAAAAACAGGGCAATCTCTCAGAGCTCACCTCTCAGCCTCAGGCATGCACACGCAGACCTCTTCCAGGACACAAGAATCCAATGGTCGCCTTACGAAAGGTGATTATATTAACAAAACAAAAGGATAGACTTGGTAAAGTACATTGGTGGCTCGGTGGTACAGAGCCCCTGGGAAAAGAACAGAATAAAACACGGAGAAATGGTGTCTCTGGGACACAGCTTCAGAATGCAAATGTATGGGGGGGGAGGGGGGAAAACACAAGGACTTAGCCCAGAGAAGTTTAACTGAACAACAAAACAAAGGAAAGAACCTGATGGCAACTAAATAAACATTTCCCTGTCTACTTACAATCTGTGCTTCCAGGTCCAGGCCCAATATTCCTTGTAGGCGTTGGTGGTGCTGCCTGGATCAATTCTTCTTGTTCATCAACACCGAAGTTTAACTTGTTAGTCACCGAATGCTGGCCAGCCCTCCTCCTATCCATCACAGGAGAGGAATGGGGCAGGGGGCTTTTCCCCTCTAGTGGGCGCCAGTCTGGGTCCAGGGCAGGGAGGGGCTGGCTCAGAAGGGGGAATCTCCTAACCCTGCTCTCCATCCCCCAGATAAAGAATGTAACCCCACGAAGTGTGATGCCCAGGAGGTCCTGTGCCCGGCTGCTATTGCCCTGGGACTTCTCCTCATCCTCAGCCTCATCCTGGTGGTCGCCCTTCTCCTGAAGAGATGCCGAGGTACCAACCCGGAGCCTTGGAGAGATCAAGTGGCCAGCTGCGGTGGTGCTGGCCAGGCTGTCTGCTCCTCCCTCCCTCCCCAAACTCCCTCCATCTCCTCCCCCATCTCTAGATCTCTGCAGCTTCTCTCCTCGCACCACTCTGTCACACACACATGCTCCTCTGTTTTAACCTTCCTTTCCTCTCTCTTCCTCCACAGCGCTGCCCTGCTCACAGCCGTGCCGGCGGGAGACCCAGGTGAGATCTCAGGCTGGGCCCTCTTCCAGCCGGTGCTTAGTCCGGTCTCCGGGAGTCAATAATAACTGGTATAAGAAAGTGTGGGGAGATAACCCAGCACCCCTGCTCTAACCACTAGCCCCCACTTCCCTCCCGGAGCCAGGGAGAGATCCCAGGAATTCTGGCTCCCAGCCCCTCCACCCTGGGGTAACACTGGGGGATTTGGTCTCTGAAGCTGCCTAAATGAGCCAGAATTAAGTGACCAGATCTGGAGTGACAGAGTCCTCAATGAACATCTTTCTAACACAGGGCCAGGGCAGTCGGGAGACCCAGGACTTGCACTACACAGAGATTATAGTCAAGACTCCAAGTCGCACGGAACAAATTTCCAGCCACGTCCAGCGGCGCTGAGTCCATCTGCCCCCAGAACCACCTGAGTCCCTCTCACCCAGCACCTTGCAGCCACGAGGGACTTCCCCAGAGGAGACGGCATTCATGTGGCGTGAGGGACAGTAGAAGAAAATTATGGGAGTGCAAGCCCATGTGAACCCCAACAAAACCTGACTTGCCCTTCCTACTGCATCGTTTCTGGGTGAGAAAATCTCTTTGGGACCTTCCAAACCAGGGGATCATCTATGACGGCTTGGTTTTACCTCAGGAAATGCCTCGTCTGGTACCTCCTCCAGCTATATCACACTCCTGTGTGTTATTTCCCCATCCTCTTCCCAGTGACTTTGGCCTCCCTACCAAACACAAGCAGGTGGTTGCAATTAACAAGGCACCCGGTCCCTCCTAACTCAGCATGAAGAGTCCTCCGGGCATTTTGGTCAGGGTGGAATTGGTTTGAGCGGCTGACATGTTGGCTCCCGGAGGCTGGAGTTGCTCAAAGAACATGTATTTTTTGATCTAACATTTAAATAATTTCTCTGTGTGAAAATCTGTTTTCTGAGATTTTTAAAATGCGGTTTGGTGATCACTTGTTTTCTCCAGTTCTTAATGTTGTTTCTTCCCTCTCCTTGCTGTACAATTTCTTGTTCAAAAACTCACCTGTTGTGTCTTTTGCAAATAATACTTTTTTTAAAAAAATGTTCATTTGTCTTTGTGAAGGCTCCTTCCCCACTCTGGCATGATGAAGGCAGAAGTGGGGGCCCCTAAAGTACCCCAAAACCTTCTTTTTCCAGGCCTTGGTATAAAACTTCCCCCCAAATCTTAAAAACCTAGATTTTGGGGATAAAAATCTGCTGCAACCACCCAAGTAATAAGAAAAATCGGGGAGAGATCACTTGGGAAATCTCACTCCTAAAGTAAAAACCAGGACACCAAAATTAACCCATAGCAGGTTAATAAAAGAGAAGAGAAAGAACTTTTATTATCACCACAATATTCCTGTTACAAGAATAATGGCTAGATCGAAAAGTCACAAATTAATATACTCATGGAGGGGAAACCCACCATAGGCCAAGACTTAATTACAAAGGAGAGCAAAACCCCATTTTTTTAAATGCACAGACGTCAGATTCCCATTTCCCAAACCATAAAACAATAAAACCTAACGGATTTATCTAGACTTTGCCCTACTTACAGCTAGTGACGAGTCTTTTCTTGGGGAGGGGGAGACATTTTGTGTCTTCCTCCACAGTGGCTGGAGAGAAACGGCCCAGGGACAAAGGAGAGAAAAACCCAAAAATTCCTTTGTCCCAGTTTGAAATTCCTACCTACATTCCTATTGGCCGACTCTACCTGGCTTAGGTAAGGGACATAGTTAACCCCTTAGGCCCCAGGCTGCTGGCTAACCCTCTTGGTCATGACAGTCTTAGAAAATCATTTTGGTCCCATGAAAAGGTGAGGTTTTATAGCTGGAAAGTGGGGCTCTTGCCACCCCCATGCCCAGAAAATCAATTTTTTCCTGAAAAATGAAAACAAAGAAGAAATGTCGTGCAAAAGTGTTTTGTAAATGGGCAGGGGGAGAAGGAAAAAGAGAGAGAAAGGAGGAGGAGGAGCCCCTAGGATGCTTTTGGAATCTTGCCTCCGGGGGAGGGAAATCCATTTTCCTTCCGTGGAATGGCACCTCCCAAAAGGGAGCTGATGGCATCATTAACTAACCTGCCCAAGTCCTTTTGAGGTGAGGATCCATGGGGTAACCTGCTGCTTTGCCCCTGAATTCCTCAGGTGTTTATTGGCAACGCTTACAGGCAGCTGGATTCTCACCACCCCTTCTACTGGGGGCGGCTCCGGGTGTCCACTCTGAACGAGCACAGACAGGGGAGGGCGACGCTGAGTCTGGCCGAGCTGGAGCAGCGGGACTCCGGCCTCTATCGCTGCTGCGTCCAAATTGACAACGAGAGCACGGGGCTGGGAGGAGGCACCGAGCTGAGCGTGATGTGGAGAAACCAGAATGAGGCTGGTGAGAGTCGGGGGGATGGGGAATGGGGAACCGGGCCTGTCTCTCTAAGAGGTTCTGACCCAGCCATAGGGACTGGCTTAGGCCAGGGAATAGGACATGGGCTGGTTCTATTGCAGAGCAGGCATCGGAAGTGTCTGAGCGATTCTAGTGCTGCGGGGGCCTTGTCAGGTGTAAGTTAAACGACCTCCTGGCTGATACGCGGCGGCTTTTCTACTGAGTTGTCGCTGGCTGCAGCTTCTGTGTGTCCCACATCCTGTTGGCACCTTGCAGAGAGAGAGGTGGTTAGAAACCCAGCCCCCCACTTCTCCCCAGAGCCACGGTGCTTGCACAGAAGGGAGGTCTCGTCTGTCTCGCTGCTCTTGCTGTTGGCCTGGGTCGGCTCCGAGCTCTCTGATCTGCGGAAGGTGAGGTTAGAAGCCGGCTCTGCTGACTCACTGCGGGGTGATCAGACTCCTGGGCAGCTGCGAAGTGTTCGCAAGAAGTGCAGGGGGAGCCTGGGGAAGTTTTCTGGTCGTGGTTGCTGAAGAGGAATTTGGTCACATCGTGCAGGGGCATGTGGGAAGCGCACACAGTCCCTGAAGCAGAGGCACAGAGAAGCCCAAACACATCCAGGTGTTATGACCATGAGGGTTAGCCAGCACCCTGGGAACTAAGGGGTTAACGATACCTAAGCCAGGTAGAGTCGGCCAAGAGGAATGGAGGTAGGAATTTCAGACTGGGACAAAGGAATTTTGGGCTTTTTCCCGCCTTTGTCTCTGGGCAATTCTTTCTCCAGCTACTGAGGGGGACAGCCACTATGTCCCCCTCTAAAAAAAGACTCTTCACTAGCTGTAAGTAGGGTAAAAAGTTTAATAAATCCATTAGGTTTTATTGTTTTATGGTTTGGGAAAAGGGATCTGATGTCTGTGCATTTAAAAATGAGTTTTCCTGTTCTTTGTAACTAAGGTTTGCCCTATGGTCGGGTTTCCCCCATGAGAATATTAATTGGTGACTTTTCATTCTAGTCATCCTGCTTGCAACAGGAATATTGTGGTGATAATAAAAGTTCTTTCTATTCTCCTTTATTAACCTGGCAGTGCTTCATTTTTGTGTCCTGCTTTTTACTTTGGGGGGGGGGGGGGGGGGGGGGGGGTGAGATTTCTCAAGAGATCTCTCCCCTGATTTTTCTTATCATTACTTAGGTGGTGGCAGTGGATTTTATCCCCAAAATCAAGGATTTTAGGATTTTGGGGGTCCTGATTTACATCCAGGGCTCAGAGATCAGACTCCAGCCCTGACTCTGCTGAGTCCGTGGTGTCACTCCGGTTCACACCAGGACCAGTGAGACCACAATGCAGTGCACCACAGAACTACACCGGAACTGGCTTCTTAGGGCTCTTCCCAGCTGAGGTTCTTGCTGATGTTCACACGCTTCCTTTTCTATAGGAGACGGAAAGGAAGAGAATCCAGATGCCAGCCCTGAACTCACTGTCTACAGAGCTGTGGTTCCTCTCGCAGGTGTCAGCATCGTCATCCTCGTAGCTACCCTCCTGCTGCGCAGACGCACAGGTATTTACTCTTCCCGCCGCGCTCCCTCCATCTGCCTGGGCCCCCCTCCTTTGACATTCACGTCTCTTCATTTCTGCTG